GACTATCGAAAAAATATAGCTTAAAGGGGCTAATAATACTCACCTTAAAATGGTGTTGAAAAAATTAAAAACTGCTTTTATTCTAGCCAAAATAAAACAAATAAGACTTTCTACAGAAGAAAAAATATTATCAAACATACTGTGAAAATTTCCTTACTCTGTAAAAGATAATTTGGGAAAGAGTTAAAAATCAATAAATAAATAAATAAATAAAGGGGGCTAATAATTCTGACAACTGTATATTCAGCTTGAACTTTGTCATAATTACAATTACAATACTCTGCCATACACAATAAATAGCAGACATCTTCAGTGTGGCCACTAATAAAGTTATCTTCATGGTGACTATCCTTGTTTTTAGGGGCCTTAACCATTTTTACACCCTCACTCCCTATCCCTCATGTATGAATGAATGCAAAAGGAGATCTTCAAAGGCAGATATGCATATCACATCTCAGCCAGTGGGTTCAATACTGCCCACGTCCAGTGCTGCAGCCCCTCCCCTGCACATACACACACTCACAAAGGCGCACACACACACACAGCAGGGCTGAAATCGGCTGAAACAAAGGAGATCAGGTGCTGCTGACAGCCACAATCACACCACTTGAGAAAAAGGCACTGATCATGTTTTTTTATGACTTGCAGGGGGAGAAACAAGCGAATCTGTTAATATGTAATAAGAACCGCAGCATTTGAAAACAGGCTGTTTATTTTGGATTAAGCAGTTCATGGGGTTTCTTGTGTTAATGTCCATCTACTTGCATTATAGTCCTACACAACGGTATGAACATGTTTGTTGACTGCATCTGTCAGTCAACTAGCAGCTTGGCAAAACATTAAAAAATCAAATATGAATAAGCAAATATTGAAATATTGATGTAAAATGTAGGTTGGCGTTCAATACTGACAAAAATACTATCAATAATTGAGATTTTTTTTTTTTTCTCAATGATGCACAATATATTGATGTAGCCCATATAAATTAAACAGACTAAAATGACCTGGCTTTATGTAGGACTCACACAACCATTAAATCACAACCATTAATCCTTAGTTTATTCAGTAACAAAACAACAAATTGTTATGTGCTGGCTTTGTGTGGATATTAGTACTGTCAAACAATTAATCGCATTAAATCAAATTCAAAATAAGAGTTTGCATTTATATAATGTATGTGTACTCACTGTGTTTAAATACTGTGTAAATAATTCTAAAAATAAGAATATACACACACAGACACACACACACACACACACACACACACACACACACACACACACACACATGTATCCTATACAGCTGGTGTATTTTTTTTCTTGATTGTATGTATAGATTGTTATTCGTGAAATTACTGAAATCTCATGCAAATACAGAAATGCACAGCAAATAGCACAGACCACATTGAAAGTGTCAGGGGACTCTAAAAAGTTTATAGATTGTTTATAAGATTTTATGGAGATGCACTCTCCCAATGCAGAATCATCCAAATTAATCTAACATTATAAAGTTTTTCCAAATAGAGATTTTTAATTTGGTTAAATTGTATTTATATCAAAAATTCGCTAAATAAAAAAATACCGCAATGCTAGATTTTTCCAATATCGTGCAGCCCTACTTCTAGATTTAAAATAGTACCCCATTAATGGCTGAAGCCACAAAAAGTACAGGGTCCATTAAATGGCATAACATATTTTCGATGGCCGAAAAATTGGTTCATCTCTAATATCAACAAACTTTTAGATTACTATAGTTTTCTGCGGTACGATTGGCTCTTAGATCAATATAGAGTAAAAAAAAGTCCACCGCTTATCATTGTTATTGACATAAATTTTATTCCGATGCGATATAATAGTGTGTCAGCCCTAGTTAATAGTGTTCACCCCGCTTTGCACTACACAATGTATTACAAGAGAACTATTGTACAAAACGAGAATCACACATATGTGCTAATTCTCACACACCAAAATTTAAGTATTTGCACCTTATGTTTAGAGCATGAATAAAATAAGTGTTGTGAATGGGGTTAAAAAAGGTCAACAAGTCAAAGTGTAATTTTCACAAATAGATCTGACAGACTAGCAGACACCTGATTAACGTCTCTCTCAGATGGCATGCAACCCAATTTCAGTTCTCTTTCGTGGCATATTATGTTTGAACGATCAAAAACACACAAAATTGTAATAATCTCTGTATTTATGTAAACATATCATGCAGGGCTCGAAATTAACCTTTTTGCTTGGTAGCACCGGTGCTCCTAACTTTAAAAATTTAGGCGCATCAGCCAAAATTTAGTCGCACCCACCAATTATGAGCACCGTTAATACAAGTTTTATACAAACATATTGGTTGTATTTGAAATCAACACTAATCAAACTAACAAGCAAAAAAAATCATATACAACGTTATATGCAAGCGTGAGGAAAATATGTCTCAACAAAATCCCGTTATCACAAGAAAATACATTTTTATAACATAACTGAGTGACCAAAGCATACACGGAGCGCTCACCGGCCCTGCACGCACTGCTTGAATTAACGTGTTAACGGTATAACTAGTAAGATGTGTCATTATTTGTAACTGTAGATGCCATGGTTTCTAAAACAAAATCTGTCAAGTGTTATGTTATCTTCATTCTCATCTTCAGTGCTTTACAATTTTTTGCGGTAGTAGCTCTCTGTCATCCGAAACCAGAAGGTGCTGAGTGATTGACAGCTGATATTAACCAATCATTCAGTGCTAGAGCAGTGGTGGGCCAATAAGAAGAGCGCGAAGGCGGGGCAAGCATTACGGAATGGGATTTGTTTACTGCAGCAAGTTGAGATGACAACTGTTTTAAACCATTCCTGAGCGCTGCGTTTCGCGTGCAGACAAAGAGCTTAGAGATGCATTCTGCGTGAATGTCTCCCGAATCCGCGCATGTGCTGAACATTTTGCAGTAAAAATTGGTCGCACACAACAATTTTAAACACTCGCAGAAATGCTCCCAAATATATTTCAAGGTCGCATAAATAAAATTTCGGGCGCATATGCGACCAAAATGGTCGCATTTTCGAGCCCTGTCATGTATTAGGGATAGGCGATATGGGCAAAAGATCATATCTCGGTACTATTAGGAGGAATGATGGTATACAAAAAATATTCCATAAATGGTTATTTGAGAGTTAAAGCCTTTATTAAAACTTTATTAAACAGTTTTTGAGCAAAGTATAACTGAAACACAGGGGTTTTCCCTCCCTGTTATTATCGTCATTATAATTAACATTCTTATATTTTTACTTTGTTGAAAGAGTAGCAAACAGCGAGATATTAAAACATAAAAAATAAATGTTTGGTAGACAAATGCATGTTTTTCTTTTATTCTACTTTTTTTTTTTTTTTTACGTTATATTAATCGCTTAAACTACCAAGCGTTTGTACACTAGGCACACACAAATCAAATTTCATCCTCCAGATAAGGGGCTAAAATAAATAAATCAATTAAACAGAATAAATAAATAAATAAATACAATGATTTGAATATAATCAGAATTAAAGTCAATTCGCAATAACAGAGCAGAACGCAGAGCTAAATGTCTTATAACATAAACATAAAGAGAGACCATCGTGTAATAAATACTGAACTTATAATCAGTGAATATGAGGTGGTTTCACTTTCAAAATGTGGTATAAATTCAACCCATTTTGGTGTTTTAAATCTTTTGAACACATTCAGGTGCTACTTGTCAATTTGACAAGGCTTCTATTTTCGTTCTTGCTGTCAATTAAGGAAGAAATTATCAATAAAAGGTTTCTGATAAACTGCTGTGACAGCTGCAGATGTAGTGTGGCGCGTGTGCACTCAAAGCGGAGTCAGATTTTGATACAACACCGGCACTGCATATTCCTCCATGTCGCATGTAGTGATGTGTCGTTCTTAAACGATTAGTTAATTTTGAACAAATTTTTTTGTATGACTCAGGAAGGGAATCATTCATTTGTGCATGCGCTCATTTGTGCAAGTGGAGCTCGTATGATACCTTGGAGGGGTCTGTTTTGTGCAGGATGCGCATGTGTGGCCTCAAACCATATCGATATGAAAGATACTGGATATGATCCCGCATTGCATTGGGGAATCATATTGATATATCCCCAGAACACGATATACCACCCAGCCTTAGCATGTATATGTGAATGAGGAACTTGAGGGAAAGAAAAATCTGACATTGAATTTAAATGTTAGATTATTAATGTTATTTTTTCTGGTGACATATCATTTATTTTAATGGTATTTCAGTTTCTATTTAGTTCAATTCACCTTTATTTGTATAACACTTTTACAATGTAGTTTGTGTCAAAGCAGCTTCACATAGAAGATCATAGTAAATTGAAACCGTGTCAGTCAAGTTTCCAGTGTTTAAGTTCAGTTCAGTTTAGCTCAGTTCAGTGTGGTTTAATAATCACTGCTGAGAGTCCAAACACTGAAGAGCAAACATTATTATAAAACATTTGTTAATAATTATAGTAATTATTAATAATGCAATATTTTATTTACATATCTTATGCATTGTGCAATATTTATTTCCATATAAGTAGGATATTTTGGTTTAAACCAAGTTGTCTTTAATAAATTAGAAACATATTTTTATTTGAATATTTTTTTTCTCATCAAAATTTTTTTTAATTTGTAGCTCAAAGGCTAAAAAGTGTGGGTCATGATCTGTTTAACCACTCCGGTCTAATCAAATGACGTGATGATTAAGATTATCATCAATATTGAGTATTATTAATTCTTTTACCGAGGGGTATAATTATTACTGACAAAAGTATGATATGAAGAACAAATACATCCTACAAAATAAATGCATCATTGTCTGCCATCGAGGACCTAGTTGTTTACTAGATACAATGCATTGTGGAATTGCCTTCACCCTAAAAGGCACATATAATGCTGCCTACAATTTGGAATACTAACAAAATCTTTAAAAGAGAAACCACAGCTAACAATTAAGAATACTTACATCTTTGCAGGCTGCAATCTGGTTGATATATTCTCCGTCAGTGAATATGATGTTCTGTCCATCTGCTTGCAGACCTAGTAAAGAGAGAGCCATATTTAAAATGTTTTGAAATTAGTTATTATTTAAAGTCTGACCTAACCTCATCTGAAACATAAAGACAGGGCAGGATATATAGTAGCCCCTCCTATTCTGAAAAAAATAAAAACAGCCAATAGCATAATATTTTTATCACAGCTCTGCCAGTGAGAGTGGTTGAGATCAAGCACATCAAACGGAAAGCAATTAAAAAATATTTTGAAGGGGGCGGGACTTTTGAGATATTATAGCATTTGATTGGTCAGAATATTTGATGAGAAACTGAAAGATGAAGTGATGTCACAAAAATGACTGAGCCATTAAGGGCGAAAAAGTGCACGTTTAAATGTTTATATCTTCTACATGCAGATTTTGTCACTGTTTTGGAGCAGACAAGCTTATAGATATCCTTAAAACAAACATACTGATACAAACATCTAAAAAACATTATTTAAATTTTACGGAAGCTTTAAAGAGCACCTATTTTACCTTTGTTTTTTTTTTTTAAGGTTTAACATGAGTCTTTTGTGTCTCCAGAATGTTTTTGTAAAGTTTCAGCTCAAAACACACATCAGATTATTTATTATAGCTTACAGAATATTGGAATTTTCTGCTTTAAACACAATGTAGCTGTTTTTGTTGCCTATGCCTTTAATGCTAGTTCATGGCACCCACCATTCCCACGTGCCTGTCAGAGTGTGCCTCAATCTCTGCCTTGGTTGCATCAGATAAACAGCACAGTGACAAACATGACGAAAGCAGATCTCACGTAATGTTTGTGAGAAATACTACAGTAAGAACTTTCCCAATGATTATTTAATGTATTTGTTGTGGAGTATTTCAAGCCTTTCTGCAACAATGACTACGTTTACATGGACAGCAAAAATTTGACAATACTCTGATTAAGAGTCTATCATGTAAACAGTGACTTTTGATTAATTTAATGAGATTAAGGTCATAATCGAACTTAATTTCTCAATTTAAGTCGCATTATTGACGTGCATTACAGACATGTAAATGCCTTAATCGAATTATTACCGTCATGTAGGACTTTTCGCTGCATTTTGCGACACACACACACACACACACACACACACACACACACACACACACACACACACACACACACACACACATATATATGTACACATACAAACACCCACGCAGCTGTTTGACACTCTTTGTACCTACCGAGTCAGTGCAGACCACAGACACCTGCATCGTAAAATGTTCTTCCATTCAGCATGTGGTATGAACTTTATACCGTAAAACAACAATCTTCCAGCAGTTTAGTTGCATTCAGTATCTCGTTTGTCACGGGGGGCATGCCCGAATGAAAGTGAAAGTGCCAAACTGCAGTCAAAGTTGACAAATTAATAATGAAACACCCGAAATTATATGAAACTCTGGAGGAAATGCGGATAGCACGGTGACGCAATGACGTTAATCTAAGTATGCGCTATAACATGTAAAACGGGATCAAGAAGAAACATTCAAAAAGCAACTCATGTAAACACCTTAATCTTATTATTGTCTTAAGTAGAATAAGGCAAATAATTCGATTACTGATGTCCATCTAAACGTAGTCACTGAGTCACACACAATATCATAACAAAGTTCCCCTGATTTAACATCCACAAACAGGGATTGAAGCGTTTTTTTAATAATTTTATTGACATTTGGCTGTGGTTATAAAGACGGTAAAATCACTGTAATTCATTACAAACATGCAGTGTTTTAAAATGTTTTAAACTTGTAGAACTTGTTCTTGATCACATTTGAAGATGACTGATGATCACAGAGAGCCTAACAGATCTTTTAATCCCGGTTGTTTTGCGCAAGTCCTATCCTGTTGATATGATTATACGCATTACTACGGAGACCTGTTAATATGTGACTGTCAATCAAATTGGTGAGCGGGGAAATCACACTTCTACGTCACATTGCAGTTGGCACAAAACGAGAAGGATTTGGATCCTATATTAACGTCAGGAAAAAAAAAAAAAAAAAAGAAACTTATTGTGCTTATATGACCCCAATATGACTGTGGACACACTATACCTACAAAAAGTTGTGTCCAAACAGCTTTAAAAAGATGATTTTCATCATAGGCACACTTTAAATACAACAAAGATAATGTTCTACACATGCAGATTATTATTATTACTTTACTTTTCTTTACATTAACTTATCTATTTCTATTTACATAATATAAAATGAAGTCCAGTAGCTATTCAAATTCATTTATTCATTATTTGAATGAAAAAAAAAATTGCCCTGCCTTTAGCAAGCACTATCAAGTAAGAAAGGTGTTTGTACCAGGCACTGTGATGGTGCCCTCCTGCTCCAGAGTCTCTGGGTTGATCTTTATGGCTGCCATGTTGTGACTGTTCATGTCTCGATATAGCAAACAACCCTGTAAATAAATCAAGGCTGTTAGAAACACAGAATCACATTTTTGTAGTTCGAAGAGGTTAAAAGGTTACATTTAAGAGATAAAAATTTATCAATCCAACTTGTATAACATCTATACAAGTATGCTGACATTATAAAAGCAGGCAGTTGATGAAAAAGAAACATTGTTATAAGGCAAGAGGTCAATACCTGGGCGAATCCCAGCCATGACCTTTTCTCCTTACGGTTCCTGATACGTGATGTGGAGTTGTATACATGGCCCTGGAATCAATAGACTGTTATTAGCACCCACACAAACACAATGATGAACAACCTGCTGTGTTAGCACTACATCATATCTACAACTCAAATCATCAAAAAGTAAATGAACAACAATTGAAATGAAGGTAAGTTAAAACTTAAAAAAATAATAATAATAATTTAAAGGCATAATTCACCCGAAAATTTTAATTATGCTTTTATTTAATACTATTTACTTGCACCAAAACAATTTGAAATGTTTTGCTCTGTAGAACACAAAGAAAGGTATACTAAAGAACATTGGCATTGACTTCCATGGTGTTTTTCCTATTATGGATGTCAATTGTTAAAAGTTTCGATGTTCTAACATTCTTAAAAATATCTTCTTTTGTGCTTAACAGAATGCAAAAAACTAACAGGTCTGGAAAAAAGTAAAGGGTAAGTAAATGATGACAAAATAAAATATTTAGGTGATTATTCCTTTTAAATGTAATATGTTTCTCAGAATCATGTTTAATTTGTTGTTGCAAAAACCTCATTACAGCCACCATATCAATGCTTATTTGCATTACATTTTTATTCAAACAAACATTAAATACTGAAGACGGGTTTAGAAAAAGCATAATGAGTATGTAAAAAAGTGAACATGTTTAACAAAATTGTCTTTTCGTCTTCATTTTTTTTAACTAAAAAAGTGGGTTAAATTCCGAACAATTTTCTTGTTCTATTTATATTAGGGATACATTTTACACTTAAAAACCAAAATATAAAAAATGACAAAAAATATGAAAGAAAAAAGGTATTCAGCATGCTGGATCCACTCCCTGTCCAGCTGTAGTCACTGTACAGTGTGAAGTTGCTTTCACACAGGACCCAGAAAGTGTTTTTACTTTATATTATTTATTAAAATAATAAATAATAATTACAAAGCATTTTTGCTTCAGTTTTTAGCTAAAAGTGCAGCCAGAATTTTCATTTCGATGCGTTCCAAATTTACCTTAATTATTTTTGAGGTTTAAACATTGATTGGACAATTACAAGAGAAATTGTGCATTTAAATTTTCTCATGTTCATTAACATTAATTTTGTGCTATAACCAGAAATAAAGACAGGTTCAGTTCACTTAACATGATTGAAAATGTTAAATGTTAAACCCAAAATTGTTTATGTCTTTCTAGCAATCAATAATTTGATACTCCAGTCTCTCATGATATTTAACACCTCTAAACTGCATTGATGATAAGCTAATTAAAAGATGCCCTCACCCGAACGGTGCCACTGTATCCTGAGCCTACTTTGTAGAGGCCATCTTTACAGAGCAGGTAAAGAAAGGAACCATCTGTTTGAAGAAGACAGTGTTCGTCGTCATCGATGTTCACCTCCTTCAGAACCCATTTGTTCATCAGTGCAGCTCGCTTGATGCCATTTCCGAACCATTCCTGGATCTGAATCTTCCCCACCAGAACCGCCTGCACACTTCTCTGTAGTGCATTCAGGATTGTTGGAACCTATTGATTGCACAAATACAGTCAGGTCAGATAGTTCATGAAAATTAGGCCTACTCAATTATGGAAAAAAACAATCGTTATTATGCATATCCACCGATCCATCAATTAAATCCATCCATCCATCCAAGAATGGGACAAGGTAAAAAAAAACTAACAAAGAGACAAAAATCAATCTTCCATTCATTCACCAATCTATCAATCCATCCATCCATCCATCTAGTAAACTATCTATTCCTCCATTCATCAATCCATTAATCAATCAATAAATCTGTTAATGCATACATCCATTAATCAAATCCATCAATCAATCAATCAATCAATATATCATGAATCAATCAACCAATCAATCACTCAATCTATAATGGGACAAAGTAAAATAAAATAAATAAATAAGAGTTAATCATTAATCATCCATCCAACCATATAAAACTATCCATTTATCAATCCATCTATCTATCCATTTATCTATCAATACATCAATCAATCAGTCAACCAATACAATCAATTCATCAATATTCTGTCAATTTATCCATTAATGCGTTAATTAATCTATCAATCCATTCAATCAATCAATCAATCAATTAACCAATCAATAAATCCATCAATGCATCCATTAATCAATATATTTATCGATTCACAAATCAATCAATCTATCTATCCATGAATCAATCAAATGCATCCATTTATCAATCAATCAATCAATCAATCAATCAATCAATCAATCAATCAATAAAGAATGGTACAAAGTAAAAAAAATAACAGTCAACAGTCAATCATCCATCAATCAATCAATCAATCAATCAATCAATCAATCAATCAATCAATCAATCAATCAATCAATATATCATGAATCAATCAACCAATCAATCACCCAATCTAGATAGGGACAAAGTAAAAAAAGAGTCAATCAGTAATCATCCATCCAACCATCTATTAAACTATCCATCCATCCATTCATCTATCAACACAACAATCAATCAGTCAACTTATACAATCAATCATCCATCAATATTCTGTTAATCCATCCATTAATGCATTAATTAATCCATCTATTCAATTAATCAATCTATCCATCAATCCATCCATTTATCCATTAATTAATCAATCAATCAATCAATCCATTAACCAATCAATCAGTCAATGCAGCCATCCATCAATCATCAAATCCATCAATCCATCCATGTATCAAATCCATCAACCAATCTATCAAATCCCAGTAAATAAAGTTGTTATTACACCTATACATTTGGGGGGGCATTAGATTTCTTAAAATAAAGAATGAAATATATAACAAACTGTGGAAAAAGTTACAAAAGTGAGCAGTGAGCGATTTAGTTTTGGTCTTATATCTTTTTATTAATAATAATAAACTCTCTGAGGCTCAGAACATGCAAAGAACAGCACAGTCTCTCTGTCATGCTTTTAAAAACATAAAAGAATTGATTACACTTCAACAAATTGGGCACGTCTCATGATGCAAAAGTCATGTTACATGATTTCATTGAGTCCCTCGTGAAACTCAGCTTTGTGAAGGAACAAATGTAAACTGCTGGAAAGGGGGCGAGATATGATGCTTTTTTAATATAATCTTTAGAGGCCAAAATCAAATTTGCATTTTGATTAATTGTAATTAATAAAAGAAAAGCAAATACTAATAAAAATACAAGTTTACCATTTTAGTATTGCATGCCAATTTGGACTTTAAGCAGAATCAATTTAACAATTTAGCTCTAGCAAGGACAGCTGTTCCTTTATATCACTTTATTTCAGTGTGGTCAAAGAAATGTGTCATGCTATGAGAGTAATAACTAAAAAAGCCTTGGCGGACAATCCTGTGAGCAACAAATATTGAGTCTCTTTGACAAATACTGTAAAATGTGAGCAAATCTTTTTTCTAATGTCTATAAAATGCGTGTGAGATTACAGGAGGCACTTCTGGTCATTTGGAATCACAAGGCTGTGCCACAAATAATCCTCTTCAGTTTGACTAAATGAGCTGGACATTGTTCTCCAGTTCATCTGATGTCAGAAGTAAAATGTAACGCATGGTTATGTAAATGTGCCATTGCATATCAAAAATATCTATGACAAGATCTTTTCAGTCTGCATTAAGCTCCTCCTGTACTGTTCCTGCATTTTTGCTTCTAATTCTACCGTAAAAATGTGGAAAATTGCATTTTCTTCATATTTGTAGACCACTTTTCCAAATTAATTTGCAACATATGCCATCATAGAGTTCGTTCATCCAAAAATAACAATTCTATCATAATTTTCTCAACCTTGACTTGCTTCAAAAGTATTTTTTTTTACTTGGTTTTGTTCTTTTGAAAACAAAAGAAGATATACTGAAGATTGATGGAAACCTGAAACCATTAATATCCATAAAACAAATACTATGTAAACCAATGGTTATCGCTTCAAATATTCTTCAATTTATCTTCTTTTGTGTTTCAAAAGAACAAAAGAAACCAGTAAAGATTGAGTAAAGAAGACAAAATGATAACATTGCGCTGGTATCTAAACTTGTATCAAATTCAGTGCTCAGCTTATATAAATACACCCTTCACAAATCTAGCTATTAAATTCATATTTTTAATAGGAAGCTGTGCAATATTATATTTATGCAAATATAGTACATTAATTTAGTCAGTACTGAAGCCAAATCCGCAGCTTATCTAACAAAATAACTTACAATAAAGGTAAAAAAAATCCAAGGTTATAACAGTTTTGATTTTTTATTAGTTTTAGTTGTTGTTCATTTTGACTATTTGTTTTCAAATTTAGTTAGTTTTATTCTTTTTTAGAAGTAGATTTACTCATTTTTATTGGTTTCTATATTTTGAAATTGCTTAGTTTTAGTTTAGTTTTTATTTAGTATTAGTTTTAGTTGCAAAATTAGTTTTATCTTAGTCAATGCAAGCCCTTTTGCGATGGTGTACGTGATGTTACATTTTACATACAGCTGCCACATGCACAGCTGATAGCATCCTGACGATTAAAGAAAGGATTAAACAGAAGCTGTCGTGCATTAAAATGTGTAGATCTGGCAAACGCTGTTATCCGCAAACTCTGTCACACTGGCTTTATGGTGAATGCTTTAGTCATTTTCATAGCGGACTTTAACCCAATGGAAGTCTTTTATCCACTCTTTGAAAAGTGTAAACAGTGGATTAACATTCACCAAACGATCACTAATAAGATGTGCCATTATGTGTAATTTTAGGTGGTTTCTAAAACAAAATCTGTCAGCGTTGTTTTCATTCTCTCATCTTCAGCGATTTACATGTTCGCGGTTGTAGCTCTCCCTGTCATCTGAGAAAAGGCATCGACTGAGTGACTGACAACTGATATTAACCAAACCGTTCATGTTTAGTTCTAAAGCAGTGGACCAATCAGAAGAGATTGAAGGCGGGGCAAGCACTGCGGTCTGTTTACTGCAACTGTTGAAAAGTTGAAATGACAACTGTTTCAAACTTTACCTGAGAGTTTTCGTTGCTAAGATGCATTCTGCATGAATGTCTCCTAAATTTGCGCACTCAATGAACATTTTGCAATGAAAACCGGTCGCAAGCCATCAATTTTATGCACTCGCATCAATGCTCCCAAATATGTTTTGAGGTCGCATAGATAAAATTTCGGGAAAAAAGCGGTCGCAATTTTGAGCTCTACATAACTATTTTTTTTAAACCTGTATTCAGGACACATGAACACTATCATCCACTCATCCTTAAATTCTAATATAACAGCCCGCAAGATAGCAGGCCTAAGTATCGTTCGATGTGTGCAAGGCTGCTTATATACACAGTAGTGATGGGAAGTTCAGATCTTTTTCGTGAACCGCATGATGACAATCCTTCCATGTTAGGGCTCAACATATCAAAAATATGTAGTTAGCTATCTTAATTTCAGTCAGTTATAACTCATAACAGAGTTTCTGTTATGAAATAAATGTACGTTCCACCAGATCCTCAAATGGGTTTACCCGGGCTGAAGTTGTTCAAGTTTAGTTTAGTCAAAGCAGGCTGCCATGTACTGTTTGTGTTCAATTCACTGAATCGGACACGTGCGTTATTATAAGTTCACCCATTCTCAAATCCGATCTCTGCTTACTGTCTTATTAACAGGAAATTGGTTTATTTCGAGTGAGAGGAGGGTATCAGGCATGTTAAAAAGTAAGTCTTTGTGAATAAGTGCATACTGGAGAGGTGAATCGCTTCAAATGATTCAGTATGATTTGGTGAACTAGTTTAACCGGTTCTTTAGGAAGATCTGGTTAAAAAGAATGATTTGTTCTCGATCAGATTCACTAATACAGAAATAATACCCACTACTGGAGACAAATGTGTTAAATTAATATTTTAAAATCTTTGCTCGGGTCGCATTTAATACTGTCACCGTGCTGCTGTCATGTCCAGTCGTTGTTTTTGTCACAAGAGAAATGGTGCCTAGAGGAGGATCCGTTTTATCTGGCCAATGGCATCAGGATTACAGACTCCGATGTGCCGTACGACTCTAACACCTGGCGTAAAACTGGCATCTAAAAGGCTTATGTATTGAAAACATTGACAAAGATGAAAACGAAGAGCGTTTAATTGTATAAAAACTATTAAATATGTTAATTAAATACAACTTTAAAAAAGAGGAAAAAATCAAGAAGCAAATTTTTTTTTTTTAATTTAGCAAAAAAATATTGTAGGTTGTATTTTTTATTTTTTGCAATATTTTGCTTGAATTTAATTGTATTATCTTTCAATTTCTAAATATGTCTGGTGACTAAAATATTATTTTAATAAATATTTTTGTTTAATAAATCTGTTTTGTGTAAATGCACCAAAATACATTGCCTCCATCCACTAAAAATATTCATTTTCAAAACGAAGTGTTCTCTATTATGCTGAGCACTGTAAGTTATTTTTTTAAATTAATAAAATAAAACATGTTTTTATTTTATTGGATTTATTTCTATAGAAGAAGTTCTAAAATTTTGAAGAGGATATTTA